TTGCCTGAACCCAGGAGGCGGAGGTTGTGGTGAGCCGAGATCGCGCCATTGCACTCCAGCCTGGGTAACAAGAGCGAAACTCCGTCCCAAAAAACAAAAAACAAAACAAAAAGCAGTGAGTGATATTTTTCATTCACTACAAATACATTCATTTTAACCATTTTAATGGAAATATTTCTAAATGAGATATTTATTCTAAAAAAAATAGCAACAATAATCTCTTCATATCTTTTACATAATTTCCTATTTTAATACACAGTGTTAGTGATGCACCTTCAACTTATTGGTATGAACAGGTATTGAACTATTTTCTCATGTGTTATATTTTAAGCTTCATGATGGGAAACTAGTGGGACGTTAGCAAGAATATGGCGGCAAATCAAGAGCATTAATCAAAGAGTTTAGTTGGGGATGTCATAAACCCAGTCTAGGCCTTGCTTCTCATGAAAATCAATAAGCATTCAAAGCTTTGGCTCTTAGGTAGGCAAAAACTAAGAGGTACTAGCTTATGAGACAGTGACTAGGTTTACTGTTGAGCTGGTTTACCAATGTGTAAAAGAGAGTTGTTTTCAGGCATATGAGATAAGAGAATTCTTGATGAGCCTGAGTGCTCCTTGGAAAAACTAGAAAGAAGCAAGGCAGAGACAGTTTGACAGTTGACTTGTGAGTACTATTGGTGCCTTTGTGAACACTGCCTAGACTGTGGGCTGTTTTAGTAGATTTTTTTTTCTTTTTGAGACGGAGTCTCGCTTTGTCACACAGGCTGGATGGAGTACAGTGGCATGACCCTGGCTCACTGCAGCCTCTGCCTCCCGAGTTCAAGTGATTCTCCTGCCTCAGCCTCCCAAGTAGCTGGGATTACAGGCATGTGCCACCACGCCCAGCTAATTTTTTTTGTACTTTTAGTAGAAGACGGGATTTCGCCTTGTTAGTCAGGATGGTCTCAAACACCTGACCTCAGGTGATCTGCCCACCTTGGCATCCCAAAGTGCTAGGATTACAGGCTTGAGCCACCCGTGCCTGGCCTCCAGTGGGATTTTTTAAAAATCGCTAAATAACCTGATCGCTTCTCATCTCAGACACTTGGTTTGCTTCTGTCTTACATCTCCATCTTCGGTCTCAGTTCTAAGGCTTCTCTTACCCCTCAAATGTGTATGTCATACTCCCTTCTGACTCTGCTGCCTGATTTGCCTTTTTCCCTTCTTCATCTTATTTTTGTCTACATTCTTTCTCATTTTCCTCCATATTCTTACTCTCTCCCTGATTTTGGTGTGTGAGGTGTGTAGCTTTGAAAGTAGAATGATCTCTTGCTCTGGTCAATAGGCCTACCAACCTGGTATGTCT